CAGAGACAGCGAACACTGGTGACGATAATACGTCGTCAGACAAACAGTTAAACCCGTCTGGAAAGATATTAATGTTCACAATTGGAAAACTTGATTATGCGTAGACAGCTTCCTCTCCAAATGAATAGATATTGAAGTAAAAGGTATTCATTTTTCAGGATTTTTTTTTATTTTCGACATTTATGCGTTATTTCACATCAACTTTCGTCTCGACTTTTTCTCTCGACTATTTCAACAATTCGCGCCTTGATGGCGATCATAAAACAGCGTCTTGATACGCGATTCCCGATTCGGCGAGATCACTCGGAATTGCGGATCTCGGACGCGTAAGTATGCGTGACACGGTGATCTAATTTCCATGTATCGCAGGCAGGCACACACGGCGGCAAGCTTATCCGCGATGCGATGCGATGCGATTTCGCGCTTCCGCGCGTATCGCTCTCTCGTCGCTACGCTCGCTCTTCGCTTCTGCCTTTTGCTTCCTTTTCGCAATCGCGGCTTTTCACGCCTTTGCGCGCGTATCGGGATCGATCCACGCCCGGCCGACCGGCCGGTATAGTCATGACTTGTGCTCACCAACTCTCTCTCGCGCGGGATCGCGAACGCAAATATGCGAAAGCCGCAAGAGCGGAGACCGGCGATTCGGTTTACGTTCGATCGAGTGCCGCAATAAATTCCGATCCGGGGTAAACGTCGACTCTCGCGATCGTTATCGGCGCCGATAACGAACGTGGTCGTGCCGAAGCTAGGAGAGATCCTAGTAAAAAGCGGTAAATCCCGAGTGTACCGTGAGTTTTTGTTTGCAAGTGAAATGTGTGGCGCACGAAACTCGTCCGACGCGATTTCGGCGCTTTCCTATTTTTTTTTTTTTTTCCCCAGCGACGTAGTCCCTGTCAATGTCCGGCGCTCTTGTTAACACGACCGAAAAATAAACGGAGCAACAAAAACGCATGCAAGCGCGTAAAATCACGCGAGCTTAAATCCTCCCTCGAAAGAGAGAGACTCTAACAGGTACGTTTTGAGAACAAAAAAAAACACATTTCTCAAGTTCATTGTGTCCGACGCGAAGGATCTGGAAACGTATCTCGGAGTGCGTTTCGCAAAATCGGGCGCATCGGCGCGAAACGCGCGAATAACAACGTACGATTTCGTCCCCGATTCGCCGTGGGAATTCGCGAGCGCGAATTAATTAAATCGCGACGAATCGCACGGACACGTTCCGATTACGCGAGCGTGTTAATGCCGATCGGCCCTGATAAGGATACCGGGATACACACGCACGTGTACGCGCGGGTTCGCAGGCTGGGAATAATTATTGCCACACTGCTCCTTTTTTCGCCCCTGCCGCCCGCTTCCATCCGGCGATTTCTTGCGTGCGCGTTTATATACGGCCGAGCAGCGGGAAACGCGGACTCGCGGTTTCTCCCATACCGCTGTAATTGCATTGGATTGGCCTAACAATTCAGGATACGTCGCGATCAACTTCGCTCTCTCTCTCTCTCTCTCTCTCTCTCTCTCTATCCTATCAGCTTTTCGTTTTTTTTTCTTCATATTTTCTATCCACTCGGTGCGAACCGGCGGTATCGGTTCGCAGATAAGTGTTTTCCTTCGGTACGGATTTAATTGTAGCGCGTATAGTTGCGAAATTCGCGCTCGCTCGCCCGTTCGTTTGTTCATGCGGCGAAACACAACAGCGGTTAAGATTTACGAGCGAAAAACGACGGCTGTGCAAAGAGCGCGCGCGCGGGCGCTCGATTTCAGCCTCTCGCGGCGCGCGGAATTGAAACGGAGAGGTGCAATTAATGGATTTCTGCGGCGGCACGCGATCGCCGTGTTTGTTACGCTCAATCGAAACACCCGCATCATTTTTAATCGAATTAATCGTGGAATATTTGTCAAGCGCCGTGAAAACTGTGTCGTAGTGAATTTTTATTTACTGCACAAACTTCATTCTCACCGTGCGCATAAAATGAAATTATGAAAGGACAACAGAGAAATTAGAGATAATCAGGTGTTAGAAGTCAATCATCAAATCAAATCACTTTTTTTTCGCATTTGTGAAGGTGCATACGTACATTCCCACATAGTAATTAACAATTTATGTTGGAAAATTCTTCGCGTCGAACATGACGAGCGTGAGAAATGTTTTTCTTTTTTGCCACGTTCGCGCGCTTACGTGTGTGTGTATGTGTGTGTCTGTAGAAATGGAGAAGCGTATCGCGTCACGTAGCCTTGCCCGCAGAAAAAAGTAGGGAACAAATCCGATCTGCGTTGCAATCGCACGGAAATACTTTCCACGGAAAACTTTCCTCCTGTGTTCGCGCGCGCAATATTTCACACGCGTCTCTGGACCGTCCGCAGGATATCCGTTTTCTCACATCGCGCCGCGAGAAGAGATGCCGGTCGACGAGGCGAAGAAGCAACGAAGGAAAGCAAGCGCGAGACGTGCCGATCGCGAAAGGCTACCGATACCAAATCCGGTTCCGTCTTTCCCGCACGTATAGACTCGGCGTTGTTCGCACGTAGGCATGTCCACATTTGTAACTCAGTCGCCTATGTAACGCAAAGAAGAATTGCTTCCTGGTCGCCTGAGAGGTAACATATAACAATATTGACTCGAGAGTTCAACGTTCCACGTGAAACTCTCGCTTGCTCTTACGCGCGGCCCTTCGGTATGCACATTCGCGTAAATAATTACGACTCGAGTGAGTAATCGCGCTTTAAAGTTAGAGAGAGAGAGAGAGAGGCTTTCGATCGTGTTTGAAGTTAAGAAACTCGCGAGATAAAATATAGAGACGGATGCGATCTACGGAAAACGTAACATTTAAACCCATAAAATTCGTTCGCTCGGGATCTCGTGTTTTATAATTTAAAATTCTTGCATCCGTTTTATCTTGAAGCATTGATGGTATAATATAACGTAAAAGTTTAGAGTTTCCGTGATAAGGGCGTATCGAGGAGCGCAGTCACTTCATGAAGTGATTACCCTCATTCTAACGGAGGCTGATCCTCAATCTCACGCCAAGTTTCCTCGTAACGCGACGCGGTTTCGCCGGCGCGGGGGATGAAAGAAACATCTCTTCGTCTCTTTCAGTGCACCTGTGCACAATCATCTTCACGGGCGCCGGCGCGCGATGGCGGTCGTTAGTTCCCCGTTAACGCACGCTTCGTTATCCTCGTTAGCGGAAAGTACGCCCGACCCCGCGCGCGCGCGCGCGCGCGCGTGAATGCAGATTTTGCCAGTCTCTAACGAGCTCGACGGACCGGATACCTTCGATTCCGTGATGCTCCGGTACTCCCGCCCGCGCGCGGGTGGAAGTAATTCCGGCGGAGCCAGATGCTCGCAAAGGCACCGTCGAAATCTTCACCGTCGATAAAACATCTTTGTGAATTGCGCGCTCGTGAATTCGGAGGAGAATAAATGAAATCCGTCCGCTTTCCCGAGAAGATGAATTGGCTACGCTCGAATAGTCATCTTTGAAGCAACCTCATTATTCAAAATTCTAATTCAGCGCGAGTACGGTGAAAAAAAAAGTGGAATATTCATATCTTCGAAGACTCGACTCGGGATTCTGTTTGGCACGTGAAGACACGAGAATCTGAGATATGGAGCAATCTGCTGACGTATGCAAACGCACGAGAGAGACACGGGGTAGCCGAGAGATTAAGGATTCGAATGCTTACATATGACGTCACGTCAGCTGGAACGTCTTTGTGCAAATTGCTTTTGCACCCATCCCGGGTACGAGGAGCTCAGACAGGATTGGGGAGGAGGGGGAGGGGGGATGACGGACGAAGTCGATGTCATCGAATTTCCTTACCTATCGCAAACGGATACGTTTGTTTCTACGCAATCCATATACAGACACACATAGGTTTTTCTCCTTAAGATCTAAGATACTCAGAATTTAACCACGAGTGTCTCGCGCGGAAACGATTGCGCGCTCTCATTTTCGAAACTCGTTTCTTCCGTTCGTGGCGACATGTCATTTTCTTCGTGTCTCTCAACTCGACTGGATGCAAACAATTAATAGATAACGCATGTGATTAAAAGAACACGGATTCGCACGTAAAATTTAGCATCTTCTTTAAAGTCTTTACGTAATAAAATATGTAAAAACTTTTACGCGCATCACTAAATTATTTTTTATTATTAGAGAAGTAGAATCAGCGGCATGGATAAATAATTAACAGGTATTAATTATTAATCCAATATACTCATTGCACATTTTCGTACATTTGTGTATAACATATTTGTGGCTTCCGTACGTGATACTGCAATGTTCGTGGTATTTATTAATATATGAATTGTATGCCGATTAAAGCGTTCGTTAATTGCCGCTATAAATTGTAATATTTATTACATTTGACCACATGTTTATATTTTGTTACATGTTGTAACTGAACCGTTCTAATTAGTCTAATTATTACATGTAGCAATTCTTCGACAAATTTCATTTTAAATCACTTCACGTCACACGTTAATAAATTGCGTTAATGAGGAAACGTGAAAATAATAACAAATCAAAAATAATCCATCGAAAACGTAACTCTTTGATTGAAATTGTTTTTAACAAATAACCCAAGGCGCTACTCCGAAAATATGAGTAATTAACGTTTTAACGTAACACAATATATGTGCATAATAATAGCTAGCTTTTATCCTTTTCTAATATTTTTTTCCACTGACTTCAAAATCTCATAACAATTCACAATTTTTTCATCATTCTTCATTTTTTTGTGGCAGCATAGTTTTAAAATATGTAACAGCGCGCGTATTACACAGTGCAATATGAAGACCTTCAATTTTTTTATTTTGAAAATTGTTACTTGTTTAAAGGGACGCCGTATTTGCGTCGAGGAAATTACGAACAAAATTTGTTTCCAGAGCATATCAAAGTTAAAGCATGTTCAGCATAAAGAATACCGTCAGTCTTACTTACTACAATTAAAGCGTGACGGAAAATGAAAATAGTTTTGTTAATTAACGTAATACTCACGGTTGGCTAATCGCGATGCTTGAATTCTTGCCTCTGGAGTAGAGCGTTTCTTGACAGACGACGTGGAAGACTCCTCAAATTCGATAATGACGCATAGTAACTCTCACTCGTAGCGGAAGAGAAACGGGGAAAGGGCGATCCGCGAATGCACCGTTACTCGCGTGAGACACGCACCCTCTCTTGGTCCACCCTCCTTGCGATTTCGCGACTTCTCACTCTCTATCGAGAGAGACACGCGCACCTCGAAATCTCGCTCTCGTATATCGGGCCGTATCTCGGAGCTGAGGCTCGTGCGCGATGTGGCAGTGGATAAACACTCCGACACAGGTGGACTCCCCTCCTTCACACTCCGGCGAGATGGAGAACGGCGACGAACCGACGGTCGCGAAGGGTGGCGGTCGACTGAGGCGCCTCGACGTCGTGCATTCGCTCGGTGCACCTCCCGCGCTCGCGGCAGGCGGCTGCGGTCGCCCCGATCGCCGTGCGGTCGTCCGTGGACACACGCGTGCCTGCCTGCGTGGCCGTCGTGCGTGTATTACAGCGTATGGCGAGGGAGTACAGACTATGCAGACCTCGTCGGAGAGCGGCGGACTGGCTTGCACAATTACTACTCCGTCGCCGCGTCCGACGTTTGCGAATCTCTCAGCGAGTTTTCTGCACTTCGACGAAGTTGCTTGCGTTTCCTTGAAACATCCTGGGCAGGTGTCAGGAAGCTGTCGCTCTGTACAACTCCTGCGATTTACTCGCAATTAAACATGCGTGTTACCACAGTTATAACTCTCATCCTCCGTTTCCCTCCGGCGACAAGTCGAATTTAGGACGCGAATCCGCTTGCGCGAATCCAGCTGCTTTGTCTAAGCGAAATTTGTTATTTAGCCAGAAGGTATTTGCCTTCCATTGTTCGTCAACTGTGTGACGTAATGCGATAAAAGGATATTTGTAGACCACTTTGGCTTTCTTATGGCTGTCTGTGCGTCGCATTTAGGTATATCTTGAGTAGTCGGGGAATATACCTATACAATGCTTTTTGAAATTGAGGTCAATGTGTCCGCGTCGTGACTGCGTAAAATGTAAAATACCGGCGAAACAGGTACACGTTGCAATTTACAAAAGAATATGACATATTGTGAGATACTTGTTTTATAAGTTGTTTTTATCACTGATTTATATATTCGCTCATATAAGTGAATAAGTGCCTTTTCTAAAGAACTTTATACAAAGAAACATTTTCAGCACGATTTGGCTTTCCCGAGCGAGTTCCGCTGCACGCGAGCTCTGAAAACATCTTTTATCTTCTTTCTTTTATAACCCACAGTGAAACGTACAGTAAAAAGCCATGAATAGAGCTAATAAAAGCCGTTTCCGCGGCGATTCTTGTTATTAAACGAAATAATTATTGAACACAAAGAGAGAACGAAGGACATTAACGACTAAAACGTGTGACCGTTTACTTGCTCGTATACAGGGTGATCTGGAAATCGCTTTTTGTGAACAAATTTCTGAAGCCAATAGTCTGACAAATTGGAGTTTCTTTACGTGTATCACGCAAAAATTTTTTTCGTAATTTTAATTATAAATTAAGCTTTAAACAATGATGAGAAACAATAAGTCTTAAATTTTAATTATATTTTATATTTGAATAGCCATTCTTTGTACACATATATGAAATTTAAAAAATTCAGTCAACGTCACAATTTATCTTGTAATTTAGAACGCGGGGATCTCAACTTTCTATCTCCATGGATCATGGAATTTTTTCTCTCAATTTCCGCTGGTTTTTGTCGATTATTGGTGTCGAAAGTGATGGAAAAATTTCGACTTTGCAAGATATTCGGTGGTATGCATCGCTACCTTCAAAATAAGAGAAAAACGCGAGGGAAAAATTGAAATAAATAGAATTTCCACTGCACTCTGTTTCTATGAGATTAACATTTCGATTAGCTAAATGATGCAAGAGTGCATCCCGCGTAATTTAGGCGACAAATCCTCTGTCCTTTATGGAAGCTTTCGTTTTCGATCGTAAATCCATCCGAAAATTTACGAGACCGTGCACATCCGTCGAATTGCGCCCGTTTTGATTTTCCCCCCATCGATAAATCACAGTTATCCGTGTGTATTGTGGATTTGATGTGCTGTTAAGCGGTCCCGTATTTTAGGCATTAAGCGGTTCAAGATTTGTGGAATACGAAGCGAAGGGATTTGCAGGATGGAGGATTCATTCTCTAATGGAAAACGAGACAAACTGTAATTGCAAATGTATGCCATACGTTTTATATTTTATTAATCTATCGTTAAAGTACATTACAGTGAATGGGTTCTATGACATTAAAAATTATTTTGATGTAATTTTTAACTTATATTCTTCATTATTGACTTCATACGGCGTATAACATTTAAATTGAAAATTTATGTAATGCGACAGAGACAATTTTTTTTATTTTGCCAGACCGTACACACAAACACAAATAGAATTGTTAAGCAATATTTTTTAACCATATCGTGTTCCACTGGTTGCGACATTAGTTGTCAATTGTGACATATGAAAATAAAATCGCGAACGTCATTTGTCAACGTCACGGCGATCATAAAATACGAGTACTTATCCGCGCTGGTCGCGAATGGCGAATAATTCGCGAATATCCGTATTTCCGTTCTCTCAACCCTTTCGTCGCCGTCGCAAGTTTTTGCATTTCTGACTAGCGCGCGAGCCGGATGCCCGGTAACAATAACGCCTTTAATTATCGCACGCAATTAAAATCGTTTCCGCGCGCGAACCCGCGTTTGCACGCTGCCCGGTACCGAATGTCGCGCGTTAACGAAGAACATTGAAAAAATGCGAGGTTTAAATTAAAATCGTCTAATTGTATATTGATGGATCTAAAATTTATTTTCATGTACAAAAGAACGATGTTACTCTATATCTTTAAAAACGAAAATTATCTTTCGAATTTTTGTTTTAAATTTTAATTTGCAAAAAAAATAAATGTAATGATTCTAATGTGCTGAAATTTTCTAAATTATTATTAAAATTTTTTTCTTTTGTGTACTGCTATGTTAACTGTTCTCTTATTCATGGAAAAATGTACGGCTACGGCATTCTCCAACGGATGCGAAATGACAGAATTAGCAAGTATAATGAATGAAATTTTGTAATTGGAGATAGAAAGAGCGCGAGAAAGAAATTGTGGCGAAAAGGTAATAAAAGCTCGTGCAAGAAAGACGTAAATTCAACCAGTGTGCAACACGGTAGCAAAAATATACGAAGAAAATGTAATATTTCTTCAGAACCCTCGTTTTACGTATAGAGGTGTTAGATTTCCAATGTCAGTATACCTGAACCTGAACCTGAACCTTTGTGACACGCAACAGAGCAACATAACAATTTTAACAAATTTAAATGTAAAGACATAGGTACCATTGAAATTAGATTAATGCACTAACAATTTCTAGAACAAACACAAAATCTACGGGGAAAGAGGAAAGGAGGAATTTCTTTATGTCAGAATCACATTTAAAAAAAAAGTAAAATAGATAGAATTGAATATCAAAATTATAAAATATATTATCAAAAAGTTACGAATTTTTTCTATAAGAAGAATGTTATCTTTTCTTATTACGAAATATCTGTCTTTAGAGGATACAAGTAAAAAAGGACTATGACATAATTTCTTAGCCGGTTCTGCAACCATTATGCGAGCAGTAGAGGATAACCGCTCGTTGTTTCTGTACCACGGATGCGTGTCGAAGAAAATTCGCTTCTTCGCGTTGCAAGACGCCTCCCTTTGACGTGCGTACGCGTCGTAATTTCTGATGCTTCGCGGTTAATCTGGCGTGGCCGTAATATACGCGCGGCGGACGAGTAACTGAAAGATGAGATATATTCTACCGTGCGCGAGTGCGGGGATGCGGCCCGTAATAACGCCGTAAACGCCGTGAAAGCATCGTCCGACAACTCAATACGTTTCCATCGAGTTCATCTTCCGCGCCCCTCCCCGTCGCGCTCCGAAGCTATCGTGGTGGTGCGTCTGCAATCAAGAGCTTAGATCTGTTGGAGTCTTCTTATCGGTTTTCGCTACCCGACCCGGTCGCCACTTGTCTACATCGTGCAGCCGGTCGAACGATTCACCGCGGACAAAGTTACGTTCGCCTACAGATAAGTGATGGTTCGCAGCCGCGTCAGTGCGTTAATTGCGTTTAGGGTTTGCGCGCAGTATGAGCGATTTGCTAGGTAAATCCCCTAGGGTTTTACTAATTGGAGTTAAACCATGCGTGAGCATTAGTAACGGCGTTTCTCAACCGGTATACACGAAGGAAATCAATCAAGCGACATGCATCCAAATTGACCTGTGACCTCATCATAATTAATATCGCATAGTTTTATGCAATAACACTAGAACCGCGGCTGCCACTTTTGATCCATCTGATAGGTTTTTTTTCCACTGTCGTTGACTATAGCTATGCGTAGACTGAATTAATACTAATAAAAGTGTAGTAATTATGGTAATTACCACTTTGTCCACCTATCAAAAAATCACAAAAGAATAATATGGGTCGTAAATAACTCATCGGTTCTAAGGGAGAGCTAAATCGCCACGGTTCTGGCATTAAGAATCTATACGAGAATTTCATTTATAAGAAGTCGCGATAAATCTCTCGCCGTTCGGCTTTTATCGATATCTAAATCGTCTACTTTTTTACCTGCGGCACAACTTTTGGGAAAAACACTTTAACACAAAAGATAACGAGATAATGAACTTCAAAAAAGAACATTATTTTGAGGAACATTATCGTTCCAGGAACGAGATATCTATGGCTAATCGACTTAAATGACTTTGTTTTCACTGTATATGTAATCTCGCAAAGATGACTAATCTGCATAGTCATTTGGGTTTAGCAAATCCACAGATCTGAGCGCAATATTACGTGCATTACGTTATGTATATCCATATACGTACGCTTCTGTGAGCAATAATGTAATAAACATTTGAAAAACACGAGAAGCGTAAAAATAAAACTAAGAACATAAGATCATATATGCATGCTTGATGAAATGGAATAGCGAAAGTTAAATTTCAATTTTTATTTATATTCTTTAATTAAGAAAAAAAATTGCCATAATAAGAATCGACTTGAATTCATTTCAATACCGTGACGGTGCTTTTACCAAGATTAAAGATATCGGGGTGAATCAAATAAAAAACTGTCTCGTGACGCTTTCTTTCATCGATGACGAGAAGCAAAAGGAAATGAGGAAACTCGGAGGGAGCCGGTGAGTGATCGAGGAAGTAAACGGGGAAATCTGCCTCCCAACGGGCACCGCGAGCACTGCTTTCTCAGCCGTAATATTGGAAGTTTACGAGGTTTGCCTGTAATCGAATCTCGTTGTACGGCCACAGAAGGCCTTTGGCAATTTGCTTGAGGGCCGACGCAATGTCGACGACGTGTCACGGAAATGCGAGCCTTACCAGAAATAACGCGCGATATATTGTAGTTCGACGGCGTTTTAAAAAGACAAGGATTTGGAACAAACGTTCAAGGGGGGGAAAATCATAGAGTCAGGTGAAGAAAAAAATTTATCTGGCATGTTTTATCCTCATGATTTCTATCACTAAATTTAAAGAAAAAAATTTTTGTTAATTTTTAATTAGATCACAATTAAATTACGGCTATTTGAACGGCAAGAAACAAAAAAAATGATAAAATGATTTTCCAATTATTATACACCATAATTACACTATACCTGATACGCCCGTACAGTTAAATTGAAACTGATACTTAAGTCACAATCTAACCGAGTGTTTGTACCTGATGTAGTTAAGTTTCGAAGTACAAGATAATGAGCGGAACGTACGATGGTTGCATTACTCTCGACTTGTGCCGGCTAATTAGTTTATATGTGCATCAAGGAACTAATTAACCGTTCCAAATAGACTTTCGTTTACGATCAATTTCCGCTGCGAGGTACAATGACCAGTTGAAATATATTATTGGCAGTATCTTTTGTTAGAGGTGTAGCTGCGAGAAAGTTGCATTAATTTGTCTAAAATTGAAATTATCGAGATGAGTTTTTATCGCTCAGCGACAATTTTGAACTTTACTAAATTCTTAGTACAAAGTAATTAGTAAAACAATAGAAAGCAGTTAGTGAAGCAATCAATTTAATAGTTAATCTTTTTTTTTCTATTTTTTTGAACTTACGAACTTTTGTCTTTCCGGACAAAGCTTTCTTCTTTTTTTATTCTTTTCTTTATAGTTCTTATCTGTTTTGTACAAAATAAAATAAAATAAAAATAAAAAATAAAAATATATATATAAAAAAAAGAAATATAATCTAACATATGTCTTATATCAGTATCTTTAAAGCAGCTTTTATCTATCTTATCTTATATGTCAACAATATCTTTAAAACGGTTTCTTTATATAATCAATGACGTAATTTTCTGGAATTTCTGCAGATAAGGTACGTTGGAAAATAAGTTTATTCTAACACGTCATAATTATTTTTATAAAAAGAGTCATTCTTTCAAAAATTAACAAATTAAAAAGCGTAATTATTGATACATCGGATTTAATTCAATTAAAGTCGCCGCCAAGGGCCGCCATTACCAAAAGTTTCATCGGAAATTATCGTTGAAAAGAAGCTTACTCCGCCGTTTTTTCCCATGATATTAATGGAAAATTACATGCGCGCCACACGGGGTGAGGAACCAACTGCTAATATATTATGCATTATGTGACAGTCAAGGGATAAAAGTTATAACGATATTTCCATGTACATGAATTTATAAACAATATACACAGAAATTCTAAGAAGAAATGCACATCATAGTAATTGCTTGACTAGGTAAATAGCGTTACGCGGGGCAAATAAATAATAAATTATTTCGCGCGTTTTATATTTCGACAATAAAATATATACGAAGACAGCAGCATGAACAATGTGCATATAATTTTTAAATATTTTTATTATAATCAATTACGTTTAAAATATCATTTTAAATTTTAAGTTAATAGATATTATAACTGATACCGTACAAATATAAAATTAATAATTATACATAGATTCCATATATAGTGATTATATATTCGTAATTAATGTATTATTTATATATTAGTTTTACAATTCTTTATTTTTAAAAAATGATAATCAGCATTGAATCGGGCTTTTAATGCATTATCCGGAACGGAACAATTTTCTATTACATAACATCGTGTGATAGCTGTAAAAGATACAGTTGCGTAAATTGCTATTCATTTAAGATGAGTGAATGCTAATTTCATATGTCTTTGTAATTTTATTTAATTTTTTACAGTTTTTTTTTTAATACACATAAACATATATTTTCCTTCATCCACTGGAAACGTGTAACGAAAGTATAGTCCAGACAAGATCAAGCATCGTAGAAAGAGCATTCCATTATTAAAATAGACTATCTTTATGCAATTTCGTTGCGTAGCCAGCGGTCTATGGCTTTACAGTTAGATCTGCACTTTATCGTGATGCGTAAGAGAAGTGCGGCGAACGTTGAGAAGGACATGGAACCTTGAGAATTTTCTCGCTCATTGTGATTCGCGAAAGAAATAAGATCTCGTACGCGCTCTTCCTGGCGTATCGGAACGGAATTTCCCACACTGCCGCGGCCCAGTTTTGCATAACGCAGAAACACACCTTCCGAAGAAAAGTTCTTGAGTGCTTTGTGTTGAATAATAGTAGCAATAGCGCGAAAATGTTAACTCAATTTTTTTAAAAATTTGATGCTATTTTGACATCGTTACATGACTGCTGTATCAAATTCGAATTTTGGATTAAAATTTATCTATACTACGTATATATTTGTACGTATATATTTATAAAATATCTGTTAAACAGATATTTTATAAATATCATTATTATTATTTCTAAATGAGTTTAATATTATATTCAATATTAATATTATTTCTAGTATGAATTCAATGTTTTAAAGAGGTTTAATGTTTATTTATATAAAAAGAGCAAAGACCGAGTTATATTAAATAATATATTTAATAAAATTTTCTCAATTTTTTGTACATCCAATGTAATAATTTATACAGATTAAAGTAAGATTCAGCTAAAAAAACTTTACTGGTTATGAAAACAGAAATACACATGTTTTAATAGCAATGTTAACAAATTATGATATAAGAAGTTACAAAATTAAATAATCTATAAGAATTATTGACCATATTTTATTGTCCACAACAACGTAATCAATCCTGAGGTTATCATTGCGATGATTGATACTGCATTCTGAGCGGAAGCATTACACAAATTTGAGTCGCATTCATTACAAGTTTCGTACCCTATAATTTTAATACTTTCACAGAAGCCGGACCAATAGCACCCACGTCCTATACCGGTATACGATTCTGAAAAAAGATATGTTTTACTTAATTTACAGTCTACACATACGCTCGCGCGCGCGTGTTGTGTGTGTGTGTGTGTGTGTGCATGTATATAGGTATAACATTGTATTTACAAGATTCGCAAGAGACAAAACTGCATTTTTGCATATCTCTAAATACTTCATAAAATAGCTTAAAATTATGTACGCGGATTTTTTACAAACTATTGGAACAAAATAAGAAAAAAGCTCAAATATTGGAAACAAATTCAAATATAATAGATTTTTTTATTTTTATGATAACAGAATGCTAGAAATAGAACAACTAAAGCTTTTACAGTCTGCAATATATTCAAAAACTTGTATAAATTATTTTGAATATAAAATCTAATGTGTTCTAAAAGTCATCAGATTTTTTTATTTTATATTACTTACTGAGTGTATATTTGACACACATCGTTTGGCTTGGAAGACATTCTACCTCTTTGACTGGAGGTTCCTCTGTACAACTCTTCGTCCAAGCATTACAATGTTGATAGTGACATCTCAATGCCTCACCTTAAAAAACATATAGATAAATCAACAAATTAATAAAAATATTTTTGTAAGTAATTATATTAAAATAAAATTTGGAAAGAGATTGTCTGATATCCAAATTATATTAACTAATTATATACACAGAGTAAAGCAAATTTTTTAATTATTATATTAAATTTGTATAACTTGTTACAACTTAATATAATTTAATCATTTAATATATTTAATATTATTATTGCACACTAACATAGCAATTGTTAATTATTACATATTCTCTAAACTAATTTCATTATATTAAAAAATTACTACGGATGTAAAATTTTAAATTGTATTAAAGTATGATAATATATACAGTATCAAAAATGCAGTAGCAAAAATTATTATAAATTAATTTTCTAAAATTCGGTCTGTACTTATAAAATTGTTAACTTATTGATAGAATAAGCTAAAAATTTACATTTTACGTACTTGAGTGAAGAATAGAGAGTGCGACTACTAAAAATATGATGAACACAGAGAAGTGACCCTGCATTTTCGTTACACCTTGGTTTGTGTCCAATTGAGAACTGTTCAGTATCAGTGTTGCAGTATCGCTGAATTCTTGCAAAGTTATTATCGATACCCATTATGAGAATCCGATAACTTATCGCTGTGATAAGTTATCGATGCTTTAGTGCTTCATGTGCTACATTAAATTTTCAGAAATATCTCCGTCATCAACGATTTTGTAACATGATTAAAGCGTCAAAAGTAAAAAGCTTTTATTAACAAATACGGATGTTTAAAATATAAATAAAATATAATTGCTACAATATACGTTAAAAATAAAAATGTGCATTTGTTAATTATTATATTCTTAACAACAAAAATCTAATAATTTTGTATGACGCAAATAGAAACGAATTAACATTAGGATATTTAGTTTGTTTAGTAACATTTGAAAAATTTGAAATAATATGAGAAATAAAATGTGTTACACTTACATGACTGTAACATTTGCTGCTAAAAAGTCTCTATTTCAATTTTGCGAACTTTTATAATTACTTTACGATTAGAGAAGGCAAATTTTTTTAACATCTGCTTTATAATAGTTGAATTTTTGACATTGAATCTCAATACACTTTTACAATACACATATAATTATCTCTTAACAAATAATATTTCTTAGGTGACGTGTAAAGTCCGAAACGGCTCGAACTGGCCACAAAATTTGTCGTTGCTAATTCCACGGTATTAGCTACGTGAGCGTAATTTAGTAGTAGAGCAATCTAAATGTTCTTTAGTTGTACGTGCATTCATTTAGATTGGTCAAATATATAACGCGTCAATGTCAACCTGTAAAAGTAATATAATTATCACACGCGATTAAATAATAAATTTGAACTCCAAAAACATGCAAGGTATTGCAATCTTCAAATACTTAGAAAGAGATCAAATGTCGCAAATGTTCTTAATGTACATAAAAACACACATATACACACAATATATGTATGTATATACATATAACATACATACACACATATACATATACAGTGAGGGGTAAAAATTCCGGAACAACCGATTATCTCAAAAAGTGATTTAAGTAACTGTTGATATTTACTTGAGATGATTTTAAAAAGAATGATTACAAAATCAACATAAATATATTAAATAGAAATCCCTACTTTTCATTGCATATTCTTATAACTGTTGTTGAGAGCTTTTCAAAATACTATGATGAAGTTATTTTTTATTAAGTACTTTTCAAGTTATAAGACTTGAAAGTATATAATACAATAATTAATTAATTGGGAGACTCGTTTGGTTTTTCATAAATAGAGTGCTTAAGTTTCGGAAATTATTATTTGCAACCGCAATAGTTTATACTGTTAGTATGATAGCCATTTCAATATTGTCGATTCTTTAGGCGCAATCTTAAGAAAATATTTGACTGTTTTATTTTCAAAAATTTATTTAACGTAATATGAACTCTTGCCAGAAGATTCTCAATTTTAAATGATACATTTCATGTAAAATAATATCACAACGCTTTAAGTTTATAAATTATTAGAATCCGTAAAAATATATGCAGTCGTCCATGTTAGAATAAGCCATGTTAAAGTTACCACATTAATTGATATCACATTACCATTATTACACTCATTTGTATTGCATTTTTTCTTAATTTCACATTTGTTATCGGAACTTTCTGTGCATGCATAGTTGGGAAGAACGCACGTACGTTCGATGATTTCAGTGGCGTTACTGTAGACTAGAAAAAATATTATTTATTAATTGCGGGCAATTATTAATTTTTATTGTTATGCTAAAAGATATGAGTAACGTATAAAATATTAATTACTTACGATGTTTAATTATGGCACAACTCCATTCTTCTTTTGCATATGTATTTTGTTGAGCGTGAGGAAGAATACTTCTTCGTAATCTGCTATGACGTAGCACAACTAAAATTGTATAAATTTTTACATGTATACATTTAATACATATATACATTTAATTGTACTGGCACACTTTTTGATTGTATTAAACCAGTAATGTGTTTGTATTTAATTTAAAGTTTTTTCTTATAAAATCCAATTTAATAAAAATTTAATAAAATGTATAAATGTATGTTATACTCTGCAAACATTTTTCATATTCTAAAATTTCTCTTTTAATCTTGAATTAACATCAAGAAATAATTATATTTTTGTTATATAAAGTGAAATATATTAAAATTAATTATGTGAATATTTAATTAAAAAAAATATTAATAAAATATTTATGAGAGAGAAAGAGAAACAGTGAGAAAGAAAGCGCATTAATTTCTTTCAAATTATGTGTACCATTCCGATCTTCTGGCAATGATGACGATTGATCTATTTCATTGTTCGATGCTGGAATTCCCGTAGGGATGGATGACGAAGTAATCGTCGACGTACTGGTAGACGATGGGGTAGTCAATGACGTACTGGTAGACGACGGGGTAGTCATCGATGTACTCGTAGACGATAGAGTAGTCGAGGACGTACTAGTAGACGACGGGGTAGTTGTCGACGTACTGGTAGACGACCAAGTAGCTGTCGACGTAATAGTAGACGACGAGGTTGTCGTTGATGTACTGGTGGACGATGGAGTAGTCGTCGACGTACTGGTGGACGACGGAATAACTGTCGACGTACTAGTAGACGATGGGGTAGTTGTCGACGTACTGGTAGACGACGGAGTAGCTGTCGACGTAATAGTAAATGATGGGGTAGTTGTCGACGTACTGGTAGACGACGGAGTAGCTGTCGACGTAATAGTAGACGACGAGGTTGTCGTTGATGTACTGGTTGACGATGGAGTAGTCGTCGACGTACTGGTGGACGACGGAGTAGCTGTCGATGTACTAGTAGACGACGGGGTTGTCGATAACGTACTAGTAGACGACGGAGTAGTTGTCGACGTACTGGTGGACGACGGGGTCGTCGTTGTACTGGTGGATAATGGAATAGTCGTCGACGTACTGGTGGACGACGGAATAGCTGTCAACGTACTAATAGATGACGGGATTGTCGTCGATGTACTGATAGACGATAGAGTAATCGAGGACGTACTAGTAGATGATGGAGTCGTCGTCGACGTACTAGTAGACGACGGGGTTGTCGACGACGTACTGGTGGACGACGGAGTAGCTGTCGACGTACTAGTGGACGACGGGGTTGTTGTCGATGTGCTGGTAGACGATAGAGAAGTCGAGGACGTACTAATAGATGACGGGGTAGTTGTCGACGTACTGGTAGATGACGGAGTCGTTGTCGACGTACTAGTAGACGACGGGATTGTCGTCGATGTACTGGTAGACGACAGAGTGGTTGTCGACGTACTGGTAGACGACGGAGTAGTCGACGTAGTAGTAGATGATGGGATTGTCGATGACGAAGTAGTCGACGACGTACTGATGGACGACGGAGTAGTTGTCGACGTACTAGTGGACGACGGAGTAGCTGTCAACGTACTAGTAGACGACGGGATTGTCGTCAATGTGCTGGTAGATGATAGAGAAGTCGAGGACGTACTAATAGATGACGGGGTAGTTGTCGACGTACTGGTAGACGACGGAGTAGCTGTCGATGGTGGAGTTGTTGTCGACGTACTAGTAGACGACGAGGTTTTCGTCGATGTACTGGTAGGGGACGAAGTAGTTGTCGACGTATTGGTAGACGATGGGGTAGTTGTCGATGTACTGGTAGACGACGGGGTAGTTATCGACGTACTGATAGACGACGGAGTCGATGATGTAGTAGTGGATGAGGTAGTCGATGGAATGGGCGGCGGTGGTAATTTACATTCTATAATCATTGAGGTTGGTAATGGTCCGTCTGCACAAGCCTTGTTTTCTAATGAATTGCATTGATAACATTTCAATGCATTTCCTTTAAAAAGATTAAAAAATAAATTAACATGAATATTTTTATATAGTTTATTTTGAAATGAAGTATTTTAATTAACTATATTAAATTATTTTTTTTTATCATATGATTGTTGCCATTAACAATATTGTCAGTTGTATGACAATAACTCTTGTTTTTTTAATTTTCATTTAGTATTAATATATAGAGTGCTTCCAAATTTATTTGCCAAACTTAAAACATGAATTTAGGCCTCAAAAGCTATTATTTTGAGCAATACATTTAATAATTACATTTTGATTATTGTAAAACAATAAAGAGGATAAACATAGATTATTTCAATTATAGATTATTATTCATTTCTATAGTTTTGTAACTTAAAAAGTCAATATCTCTTAAACAAAGCGTTTACGAGCAAACTTTCAGGAAAATTTTGTTTATTTTAAGATCTTAAATTCATATTTTAAGTTTGTTCGTTTTCGAAAGTACCCTGTATATGTTTTAATATTTTTAACTGTTTAAGTGTCAAAAATAATTGCAAAAGTATGTAAAAAATGCCAACAAGCGTCATAGTAACGTATAAATACACTTACTTCTAATTGCAACTGTCAAGATCACTCTGTAATCATTATTCTTACATATTAAGTAAAAATATCGGATAATAAAACATGAAAAAATGTTATTATTTATTGGCAAATTTCTTAAACCATATACTAAACTAGACATAAGCAAGTAAATACAAATTAGTCATTAAATTCCAATATAGTGACATAATTCGTACTTGTTAAAACAAATTATTCACTTGAGCTTATTCATGTTGCTTTTTTAAATGCGGCTTTACATGGAATAGGAAAAACCCGATTACACTTACTGGCATTTTTATATGAAATTGAAGCGCGTATTTTGGCATCCAATTAATTAAAATTTTTTGTTAATTACAAAAATTATTAATAAAATCAAATAAATTACAAAAAAAATTACATTGCGTACCTGAATAAAGAATAGCGAATGTAATTGCTAAAGTGATGATCATAAAGGGGCGACTTTGCTTTGCCATCTTTGATGCGTCGTGAGATACGTTGAATCGACAACTGTGGCGATACTTCGAGAAATCTGGATATATTTTTCAACGTTATCATCAATTTTCATCATATAGCTGACTGCGATAAACACCAGATTATTGCAAACATTGGCCTCCCCCAATGCTATCACTTCCCCGTCGCGATTAAGATGCGAAAAATGATTATCAGAGTTATCCCTTTGTTGCAACTATGATTTCTATCATACAAAGATTTTCGTCGTACGGTTTATAAATATGTCACTGATAAATCGATTTTTAAACGAACATAAAAAAAGGAGTATAATAAACGATACAAATTAAAAATGAGAAATGTTACAAACTTTCTCGGTTATAATATTTTATTGAAAATTAAAAAAAAAACAGTTTTTTTATAGATATGTATAGTATTAGTTTTGCACGCCAAAGTGTATATTGTTAATAATTAAAGAATATTTAATAATTTTTGTCATTGGACATTTATATATACATATATATATTATATGTACATGTATGTATATATTATATACGTATATAAAACTGAAATTCAATACATTTTTAACGCTCTAAGCAGCCGTTTTCATGGACGATTAAGCGTGACGTCGCTCGACTGGCGCGCGGAGAAACATTTTAAGTTCAGTTACGAATTATAGTTAATATTGCAAAGAGTACACGTTACCGTAACATCCACATTTTTTTGTGCATTCAAGCGAGAAAACTACGCGACCGTTAGGTCAGCGCGAAGTAGTGCTATACGTCATCTTGATCGCCTCTTGATACTGCAATTATAATAAAAATCATAAAATACACTAATCGAATAACTAGCTATAATATATTATATATAATATATAACTGATATAAGTATCATTGATCCTATAAGATATATGCCAGAAATTTTAAATTTTTTATAGCCTAACACGCGTAAATATAACAAATTAGATTTCTGATACGCAATTAAAGTTTCTGTGAGGGAAACAGCGGAATCAATTTCGTACACTGTACGAGCTTCTCGAAAGTAAAGCTTGAAGAAAAATCATTTGAAAGTAATGTATTATTACGCGCTATGGCGAATACTCAATTTATCTCTTTGTCCTGCACGATTTCTTTATTCTATCGATGGAATCTCTCCCGTTCAGAACTTTTCAATTTCATTTATACGTCTATGTTTATTTAATGCGTCCGTCTGTTTTCAATTTTTCTTAATGAAATGATCAACTTTTATGGCCATCCAATCGATTCGCGAAAGAGTTCTTTTAAGGTGACTATCCGAAATAAATCTTAATTATAAAAACACGATGTAAGATACTAATTAATTAAATAAAGTATATAAACAAATGTGATTGAGATTTATTTCGGATTTAGAATGACAAATAAAAAGTTGATTTACAGATTATCATTCAGACGTTTATCATTCAGACGATGATGTCGATTTCACAATTATCGATGTCCCCAATAGTTATTTACACAAACTCGCATGTGACCGATACAATATCACACATCTTGGGAGATATTACTTATTTTTACACAAAGTAAAACTCTGTAAAGTCGTAAAAATTTTATAAGGAAATAAATTTTCGATTTAAATATATGTGTACATCTTTATATATGACAACCTTGTAGTATTTAAACATAAAAAATTACATCATTGTTTTGATCAGCAAACAGCCAATGAATGTTAATACGGTACGCGCTATAATATAGTGTTGGATGCCAAAATGTCGAATTTTAAAAGGTATAGAATCTATTATTGTTAATTATGTATATAAATGTGTACAAGTTTATACATGTAATTTAAAGCATTTCCATTTAAATTAATAAATTATTCTTAAAGTCTTTTTAAATCATAAATGTTCTTACTTAAAAATGTACTAGTTTTTATTTTCGAAAATTTGGACGATGTTCCGTTGAATAGCCTGAGGTTCTACATATCATCGCTTCTCCGGTACGAAATTTGCTGAACTATCGTTGAATGAACTGCGTGCGCTCATTAACGCTAGTCTCCTCAAACACATATTTCGCGTAGCTCGAGCAGCAAAATGCCCAACTTTGAATATATTTCATATTATATGATTGTTCCGAATGTTCAATTTTTTTTATTCTAGAATGTTTCACTTTAGAATACACGTTTATTAACAAGATAATATGCGGTTACTGGTTTACATATTTAATTTTAGCTCAGTACGGATAAGAAAATATACAATATACATATATGTACATTGAGTTATAATTTAATGCCTTTACGAGCCATTTCTTCGCAAATAACATAATCAGACATTTTGGCTACACCAACTTAATATTTTGGGTTCCGGATATTTTTGATTTTTTTTTGTTTGTTTGTTTGTTTGTTGAGCAGATTCGAGCACCAAAGTGCCAGAGATAATTATTATTTTGAAGTTACCTCGAACGCGATACAAGACACGGTAAAATCGGGGAGCGATTATGTCGTGAAAGGGGAGAACTCTGTGGGTGTTCGCTAGAGCATGAAGGTATTCGCTTCCCACGCTTAAGCCGTAGAATAACAATGATGCTCACGGATGCTTGCGCATCCTTGCCGCCTCCGGTTGCCCGGCGTCAACGCGTTCCGCTTCGTGTTTCTTCAAATTTTGCCCCGCCGTGCTAAATCGGCTCTTTTTGATCAGGTAGAACGCGGAACGCGGTAATTTCCCTTTCTCTTCCTTTGCCTCCTCTCTTTCTTCTTTCATTGCACGTGATCGATGTTTCCTTGAAACATAAACGAGTAGTCTTTACAAACTTTGTACAAGAAATTTTTTATTCAGAATTGACTCTCTTTCGTAGAAAAAAATTTCGTATGAAATTAAAGATGCGATGTGTGTGTCGCGAACTGATTGTGAGTAGTGCTGTATAAGTTTTCATATATACCTTATAATCTTTATTAGTAATTCTAGGTAGCAATGTGATACGTTTTTTTTTTACTTTTTCTGTGTTTATCTTCTTTTTTTTTTTTCAATTGTTTCGTATAGGTTCTCGCGGAATTAATATCAATCGATGCGTCAATATGTAGCATGCATACCATATAAAATTGCGAGATAAGAATATCTCATCGGTATCAGTAAAAGTGGTGACTCTATATAGCCATCATGTCTCGTCCACATGTTGCAATAGATGTTGAATGCAATTGATATGCTGAGCAAATTTATGACACTAATGATGCGGCAACTCGTCAAGAAAATGTTCCACGCATTGACGGGAATCCCGACGTTTCCGTGTTTCACTAATTATACTTTCTTCGATAGATCAAAGTCGTTTAGATTTACGCGGCGAAAGCGTGGAACATTTTCAATACACTAGAATTAATCGACGTACTCGGGCTATTTTTTTCATTATACATTGCCGCGGTATGTACATCCGGTCGCATCTCCCTTATCATCATTAGCATGAAAATCCGTCTCCAATATTGCGGAGGGATTTATCAAACATTAAGACAAGATAGCCCTTGAAGAAATGGCAAACTTTCTTATCGATTTCTCGAAAATCTCTCATGGTATTCGTGCGATAATCATTGGAAATAATTTATTTACCTTAAAATACCAACTAAGAAGTTCTTTGTGTGTACGGTCAAATGGGAGACCGTTAGAAACGCATGTTTCTAACGCGAGAAAAAGAAGATAATCGTACTTCTCGCACATATAACATACGCTTTAGGCTTATATCTGCTTTGTATTAAATTTTATAGTTTATCTACAGTCGAGCTAATTAGATTTTACTCGATTGAATTCATTCGTTTAAATGTTTCGTCGTCGCAACTATTTCTGAATGTGTATGCATTCGTGAGATTTGCGACCTATCTTCCTCGCGAGTTTCTGCCCTTTGCGATGCGCAAAGATGCGCGTGGAATGTACATAGAAAAAAGAAGGCGCGGAGAATACGTGGGTGTACAAATACATTCCAAGGAGGGGGGAGGAAGTACGGGGATATGACGTAAAGCTATATGCCAGAGTTGTACACCAGTTACACCAAGAGTTGTCTGGATAGAAGTTGATAGAACTCTGGCGAAACGAGGACGCGCCTGGATCAAATCCCGGCGAATCGCGTCTCTCTTCGACATCTCGATGTTCCACGGACGCGCGTCATGCGAAAATAGATTTATAGCAAGTTTAAAGATCACGCGGGAGTCGAGCAAATTTATCTTTCGCGAAACATGCACAATTTCTGACAACTTTGTATCAATGTAATTCTCGACGGAATTCTTACGTGTTTTCTAATACAAACAAATTGCATATAAAATCATACATGTGAAAAAGAAGCAATACAGTCTGCTTGAAGTAAGATTTTCATAACTTACGCTATATACGCTGCAAACATTTTTTTAAATATAGATGCATGCGTATAATTATATATGTACACATGAAAGATTTTACAGACAATTAATATGATGCAATATTTATCTATAAAATAAAGATTACATTAATTTATATACTATAATAGTTTATCATTATCAGCTACCTTGAAGAGTTTTAAGAAATTATTGCGATGAAAATATCATATCAAATAAAATAAGATTTGCAATGGCTTATAGATCTTGGGAAGAGAATTTATACATTTTTTGTAATTTATTTTTCTACCAAAACAAAGTTTATTGATTGAAATTAATTGTTGATGCAACAAAGTTTAACATTAAAAATGAATAAGATTGGGATTTGTATCATCAAGGAAGTTAAAGATAAGATTTCAGAAATAGAAATAGATTTCTGAAATCTTATCTTTAACTTCCTTGATGATACAAATCCCAATCTTATTCATTTTTAATGTCAAACTTTGTTGTATCAACAATTAATTTCAATCAATAAACTTTGCTTTGGTAGAAAAATAAATTATGAAAAATGTATAATTTCTCTTCCCAAGGTCTAAGCCATTGCAAATCTTATTTTATCTGATATGATATTTTGCACTAGATTAACGCTGTATGTCTTCCGCGAGTTTCTTCTAGAAAATGTCCGTGTATGAAATACCAGGAACATTTTGTTTCCTTTACACGAATACATCGATAATAAACTAATAAGATCAATAAATCAGTACGCTGAAGATTTATAAAATTTATCTTGCAACATAATAACACAATTAATATTAACAATATTCACTATATATATATATTTAACATTGCGTACTGCGTACTTCAAATTATGTTTTACCGTACGGAATTTCATTTTTTCAATAAAAATCATCGCTAATAAATCTAATATTGACATTGTTGTCACATTCAATGATTTGTAAACGCATAATCACAATGAGATGAGATCGGCAAGGTTCGCTAAAATCATTTATAAGCTATGACATACGTGGGCCGCGGTGAAGAACCATTCTAGAACCAGGATCACTACAAAGGTATAATTATCATTTATCACTAATGCACAACGGACGCGCCGCAATTTATGGTTTGACGATGATAGCGTGGTACCAGACGTGATTTTATGACGCATAAAATAAAATTTCTTTTTAAACCGCCGCAGGACTGTACGTTGGTTTATTATACAGGTCGATAAAAAGAAAGGTAGTATTCGAGCGGTCGGTGCGTTATTTCCGTTGCCGAAGGAAGATATCATTAAAAATTTCAGCGATAGAACTGAATACATGAATATTCTACCTAAACGAATGGTATATCTGCAGCATTAACTCTCTGTCAATGAGTAAAACGGGAAGTGCAACGTGCTTCGTAATAATGCACGTGAATCGCGGAAATGTGCTATGTTACAATAAGGTTACGCAATGGCGAATACGACAGAAAACACATAAATAGAGGTTAAAACATTGTGAATGTTGTTTTTTTTACTAAAATCTCTAAAGGAACGATTTATGCCGTTTTGAATTTGACGAGGTATCAAAAAAGTATCACGAATTGCGCGATCCCATACATAATTAAAGATCCACTTATAATATAATTATATTTGTAAAGGAGTTTATTTCAATCAGTACAAAAACATTGGTTTTATATTGGATCGATGTCAATTGTTCAATAATCATTATTATGTCGGCCCGACGCGACGTTTCGAAATGACAATGGACCGATGGCGGTGTCACGTTGGTTTACTGACGGCCAATGATTGGTGAAATGTTGGATTTTATATTAGCAATATTATATCAACTTTAAAAAATGATACGATCGCGATTTTTTAATGGATAAAAATCTCCAGTTACATATATTAGACATGAACATCTCAAACAAATAAAAAGTAATAAAAGGAAAATTAAGTTCCAATTCTTATGAAATTGATTATATAAATATATAAGTCGTTACTATATAATTATATAATAGAACTACATAAATGTACTATAATTAATAACTTACTTATTCTGATAAGATCTGGATCTGATTTAATCACGTGCAGATTTTGCGATCGTCATACTGATATCTAAAGCAATAATTGCAACAAATTTGAATTGAATAATAAATTACTGAATTTCATAATGTCAACGTTTTTGTGCTGGGTGTTTCGCTGTTGAATAAAAATACAGTAATAAATTTTATATATATTACATATCAACTCGAGGCTGGTAACGGATTTGATTTAAAAAAACTATATACGATACACGTGCTGTAATTTAACATATAATATTTTTTTTTATTACGATTTATTTTATATACAATACACGTGCTGTAATTTAACGTATAATATTTTTTTTATTAGATATTATTTGATGTGATAACAGAATAAAGATACTTAATAATTTTATATACATTAGTATAACTTTTAAACTTCCGGGTTATAACTTATGATTTATTTTATTATTACCGATACCATAACTATGAAATATGTACTTAAAATTGTATAATAGAGCAAGTAAGATTAAAGAATTGTTTAAAAAATAAATAAATTGATTTTATTATTCTTACTGTATCACTCTGTCGAGTGTAGAAATAAGAAAAAAATACTAAAGATTTTATTTCTACAATAATTTAAAGAATTAAAAAATTGAAAAAAATCACAATTTTAGAACTTTAAAATTCTCGACAATAAAAAAAATTAAAACAAAATTTTAATTTGATAATACAACGCTGCCAGATTCTTCTATTTTTATAAAATTAAACAATTATGATAAAATAATGAATAATTTGATAGATACTTAACATCGATAGACAACGTCGGAGTAACTTCAGAACATGGATTCAGTCTTTTTAAACGCAATTTCTTTGACAGTTACATTTATCATTTGAGCAATAATCGTAAAAAGATGAACAATAAATGCTGTAGTAGAAGATAATGCATTTTTAGTAAGTTTTGTTGATTATGAGTAATGTTTTTCGTGCTGTTCTGTTTTATTAAGTCACGATTTCTGTATCACTACAGATTGTCAATGAAATAGCATTGAGTCATGAAAGATAATGCACGTGCCGCACGACGTGCATATTAAATTTTTAAACATTTTTTTTCTGATATGCAACAGAAGTTAGATTCGCTGTAAAGTGACCTTGCATACTTCCATTTCAACAGGTATCATTGTTAAAAATTCATGTACATATCGATTTTAGCAGTAAAATTAAATTAATTTGATAAATTACCTTACGCACTTGTTGTTAAACATACATTTTTTTTATTATTCTTTTTCATTTTTCATCATTCATTTTTCATTGTTAAATTTTTTTTGCAATACCATGGATTTATAGATAACATTAAATTTTCGTGTACCAATACACTAATTCACTTTAATTTAAGATTTAATTTAAATTAAATTTTTTAAATTATTCTTAAATTAATTTAAAATTAATTTATCTAAAATATTTTAACATCTTTAACATATTTCTAAATAAATTTATCTATAAAAATTGTTTGAAGACATTGATATCATGAAGATATTATGAAACGCAATTTTAATAAAAATAATGCGACTTCTTTACGTCACTAAAACACATCAAACCATTTTATATTTTTGATATACTTTATCATGTCGATAAGAAGGCACAATTTTTCCTATAAATTGTCAGTCAGCTAAGGGAAGACAACTTAAACGTTACATAACATAACGCACAGTAATTTCAAGAGAAGAAAAACCCAGAATGAAGACTACAATTTTCTTGTTCGGGCTTGCGCTCGTTGTCGCAATTATCATCCCGACTAACGGAAAACCTGCAGCTGCACCTGGAGCATCTGCCGAGGCTAATCCCGGAGCATCTGCCGAAGCTAATCCTGCAGCATCTGCTGAAGCTAATCCCGCAGCATCTGCCGAGGCTAATCCCGAAGCATCTGCTGAAGCTAATCCCGCAGCATCTGCCGAGGCTAATCCCGCAGCATTTGCCGAGGCTAATCCCGCAGCATTTGCCGAGGCTTTCGCCAACGCTGAGGCTAATCCTATAGCATATGCTAAGGCTTTTGCTGAAGCTCTCGCCGCGCCTTTCGCCGGAGCTAATCCCGAAGCAATTGCCGAGGCTTTAGCCAACGCTGATCCCGCAGCAATTGCTTCAGCTATTGCTGAAGCTCTCGCCGCAGCTTCTGCCGAAGCTTTCGCCGGACCTAGTCAGGCTAAGGTATAACTTCTGAGGTATAGTAAATCTTGTTTAATAATTCAAAATAATTTTATTGCATATCTTATACATATTTTTCATTATTCATTTACTTAATCATCTGTATTTCGTAGTAAATGTAAGTAAACAAATTTGTTTGTACTTTGTAAATATATAACTTACAATTAGTTCATTCTTTATTGTTTATCTTTATTTATACATTGGCAAAAAGTAAATAATTAAAGTAAGTTACAAATTAGATTTAAAATTAAAAAATTTGTTTATATGTCTTGAAACAAAAATACAATATTTAAAATGTTTCTGCACAGTTTTACCATCGTCATCATCAGCATATCAAATCATATTTCATCATCATCATCAAATCATATTTAATCTCGTAAATTTTTTTGCTTTGTAATATATTTAAAAAATTATACAATGTAACAATAAATGAAAAGAGAAGGTCAAATTCTTAACATGACGTAACATTTTCAAACTCTTTATATAATTTTTATATTAATATAAAAATTATATAAAGAGTTTGAAAATGTTACGTCA